CACAGCATGGTTTATTTAGCGCGTTTTACAATCTCGTCAGTGTGTGTAAATCACGCTCGGCCGCTGTCAGTGGACACAATAATTACCCCTGTTACGTTGCCGATTGCCCTGTGCCTGGCGGGGGTCCGCTGTGGTCCGCTCTCGTCCGCTCCCCTCTGCCCTCCCCTCCACTCCCGGGGACGGCTGGGGAGCCTGCTCTGATTGGTGGCCCCGCCCACCGCCGCGGGGAGCCTTCCCTCCGCCGCTGGGAGCCTTCCCTCCCACACACCCACAGGAGGACCGGGGGGGGGGGGCGACGCAGAACCGGGAGCTGGTCAGTGGCCCTCCTGAGGAGCAACCCCCCCCCACCCAACAGGAGCCACCCAGACGTGTAGAGACCTGTTACAAATCCCACCCAACCCTTCCTCCACCGAGCCCGATCCTCCAGACGCCCGATCGTCTACCTGTTTTGCGCCGTCGTTAATTACGCTCAGTGTCCGACCCGGTGTGCTCTCGGTAAACACGCATAATAACATTGTATTTACCTAATGACACGATCGCGCCCGCTCGGGAAAAACAGCACGACTAGATGGTGTCGATAGCTGCGCCTGAGGTGGCTCGGGGCCGGCGGCGGTGCCTGGGGCTGTCGCCAGGTCCGTGCCGGGTCAAAGGTGACACTCGCCGGCAGCGGGGTGGCTCAAAGGTGGTACTCGAGTGGCCACGAGTGGGCGCGTGCGCCGCGGGGACTGAGAGGCACACGTGCGATTGTTATGGTCTGTTGGCAGGTGATCAGGGAGAAGTTTACTTATACTCCATCCTGCTTGTAGCTATTTTTCACTTTTCAATTATCTCCAGCAATTTCTCTGGTGCGCTTTCTTGCACAGTGCACACATGGGTACATAATTTCCAGTATAGTTAGACGGTTAACATTTTACCTGGGAACTGTCCACGTGGGTCTGGGTCCTCCCTCTAACAACTGAACCAACAGGTCCTGATCGGACCTCCTGCTGCGGGCTCAGGTGCGACGAAAAGTGTATACCTACAAAACAGCAATCCGACCCAAGATCGCGCTTGGACACACGGCGTGTGCTCTGAAAACCTGTTCCTACCTGTCTGTACAGAGTTTTCTGATGGAGAAAAGCGTTTTAGTACAAAGATCCCTGCTCGGGGGTTGTATCAGAGCTGTCATCAGTCACGACAAGTGAAGGGTCATTTCTGACTGAATGGGCCCTTTTACCAGTGACTGAACAAAAGAGGCGAACAACTTACCTCGACACAACTTTCACGAAAGCCTAGAGACTCCAGACACAGCCTGCGTGTATGGTTTGTTAGAAGTGTGTAGTTAAGAGTCGTTACCGATGCTGCTTGGCGTTTGGCTCTCTGTTCCTCTGATTAGCCGCATGCGCCTCCGCAGTGATACCTACTGATCGGGCCGCACGCTCAGCACGAACACCCCACTGCAGCACACAGGAGTCCGGGTAATTTGGCCGGCGGCGAGCCCATGTCAGTGGAGTATCGTGCTCGGTAGCTTCACTTCAACCGCACTTAAAAGATGAGCACCCAAAGTGCACACAACATGCGACGATCCGCCCATATTCTGCCGAAACGCCCAGATTTGTGTGCAGATCGACGAACATAAGTAGCTACTGCTGTCGCTGATCTGTGCTCATGTGTACCGTGTTGTCGAGATCTCGGTCGCTGCGACGGTCGCATGCGCCGTTGATTGTTTTTGCACTGCGTAAACACCGTCGCTCGCTGGCGGCATGGGGAGATGCTCACCCTACTCAAATCGATAGTGATCTCGTGCCTCTGCTCCTCGCCGCTGACACTTTGTTTGTCCGCCACCAGATCTCCTTAATTAATTCAGCCGGTACCGTCACCCGGCCCGGCAAATCAAGCCACAATGCGCTAAGTTGGCTGAAAGACGTACACCCGCCGTGCGCCGGCGGGGGGCCGGCCGGCCGTGACACGGGGCGCGCACACTGGCGAAAACAAATCACCCACGGGGACAAAAGCTCCCGGCCGGGTCCCAGCGCTGGTAGACCAAACAGTCGGATTGGACACCCCCCGTCGGCGGGGCGTCCGCAGCCTTTTGGCTGCTCCCCTCGTCTACCTCAGGTCTCCTCTCTGCGAGTTAGGGGAGAGGACTAGGGGGTGCCGAGGACACAGGTAGCTAATTTACACCCAAAAGGTGTCAGGCGCCCAACAGGTGGTAGAAATGAAAGAGAGGAAAAAGGCACGGCAGGTAGAATACAGGAGTAAGTCAGCATCTGCTTATCGTAGACAGGGGCCCAATAAACGTAAAAAGTGACCGTGACTGTGTTTTATTAGATACAGTAACTAAACTATAATCGTCCGTATGTTACATTGAATTACGAGGTAACCCAAATCTCGATGCATATGTTTATGGTAATCTGATGACCATAAGTATCATCAATGTCTTTTAGCGAGCATCATATCGTTCGATACACAATCTTAGCCACATCGCGCTCGCTGCTGAGGAGCATATTCGTGCTGGCTATTGATACAAACCGCACGTATTTCCTGTTCAGGCGTGGGAACAAACTTTGCCCCATCGATCTGCCGTGCAGCCACCCCGGCCTAATGTGTGGGCCGTCCCCGCCTGGCTGACCGCCGGCCTAACCACAGTTGGCAGCCCAATCCGTGCAACGGGGAGGGATCGGGAGCCGGCTCCTCCAGTCGTTACCGGCTCCAGGTAAATCACGGAGCTGACAGCCGGTCGTTGGGCAGACTCACGCCCGGGATTAGCGACACGCATGGCTAGCTGTCGGACGGAGAGCACATCGTGTCAGGCGGCTCGTTTGTCATGCTATGTTTTGTGGTCGGTGTGATGGTAGGTGGTGCTTTGTGACAGCATGTTATTATGTCCGTGCTAAAATGCTGCTTTGGGGTACGGTGCTGTGGTTTGAAATCAATTCAGATAATGTTTATGTTTATGAAAATGGTGGGTCCTTGCCTGAAGCTCGACACCAAAAATGGTTCTGCTTTCTTCGAGCTGGAAAGTACACCTGTGTCATTTAATGCCATTTCTTGATTTCACATCCAGATTGAAAAGATTATCGATGAGATCGCCTCATTATTCACCATGCTGCGATAGCTACTAATTACCACCGCAAACATCACCCAATCCCCGTGTAAATCTCATACGAGTGACCGAGTTTTTCACCGTACCACCAAACTGTCCTAATTACAAGAACTGTCTCGCTCTCAGTCATGCAGCTCACGAACCAACCACGAGCGCAGAACATGACAGGCACCGGACCGGACACTTCACCTGCTCCCGGTAGGTATACGGTCGGGAAACCAAAAACACTGCAAAAACCGACCACTAACGGTCGGTCGCAACAGGTGCTGTGCGATTGCCGAGCGCGATACGACGCCAGCGTAGCAAAACGTGAAAAGAAGCTTAGACAAAGCACCCGGCAGATAGGACGTGGTCATTACCGTGTTTTCCTTGATGTAGTGGCCTTGCACGATCACAACAAAGCTAGTGTTTCGTCAGAAAGATTATTCAGAGCTTTTGATAGTGACCGTTTACTTATTGCTGAATGAAACCAGGAGAAAATAAACATTTGTTCTTTCAACTACAGCCTTCCGTACCTTTCCTAAAATGCTGCGTTTGTCTGGCCATGAATTGTAAACAGCGAGCGCAATTCTACCAATGAACACGGATTCGCAGAGCTTGTAGATCCAATCAGCTGCCATTTCATGTCAGTCACTGCTGAATATTCATACTGGCTCGTATCTCATGCACCGGTCGTCAGCTCCGAGTTTCACTGCGGACTCGTTCGCGGCCTGCAGCGCTCTGTCTGCCCCATGACCCCATCTGTCCTCTCGTCGCTGCTCCAAAGCGTGCAGCCGTCGTCCATCGCCGCGTGCTGTCACGCCCGGCTGCAATGGCATTTCCTGATGCAGGCCGTCTGCACGTGCGGCGTGCGGCTATCACAACATGGCGACTCTGCAGGGTCGCGCCACAGAGGGTCAAAGGGCGACTGGCAGTCTGCGGAGAGGAGCGCGCATTTCGGCAGCCAGGGAGGCGCCTGCTGCCGTATACAGCCGTGGGGGGGGGGAGGTGACGGAGGGGGAGCGAGCGGCAGGACGTCCTGTCCAGCCAGTGACGGATATCTGCGTAATATTCGCGCCGCTCCCGCTGTCCGGTCTGGATGTGGCGTGATTCAAGACGCTGCACTCTGACGTGAGATTTCGTCACCTTGCTGCAGTGTGTGGTGACCAGCGCGGCCAGTCCCGGTGTGTTTTGGTAGCGCCCCGTATCGGCGCCGTATCTGGGCCGTAGGATTCTGAATACTGGTTTTTGGGGCAGGCTCAGACACGCACAAGGTTATGAGGGTGCAGGAGGACAATGTGCGGGGGCGTATCAGGACCACTCCAAGCAGCACACAGGTGTAGATGTGTGTAAATAAAAACTCAAGTGTTTTGATACAGTAGTACCTTGTTAGGTAACTGTCCTATCCAAGGTTATCCTCGGATCGGACTGTTGCTCTCAACGACTGAGTCATTTGGTTAGTCATGGTTGTATTGCGGGAAAAACTGAAACGTTACCTTTTTTATACACTTTTATAAAACGATGAAATAGTTCAGCACTTTAATTTCCAGGCGGTAAGTAGCTAAATTTAGGTTATCAATAAGCTATTCTAATATAGTTTATAAAATCGTCTCGTCAGTCGGCTGAATTAACCGTAAGAGGCCATTGCCACTTGCCAGAGTGAGTGGGATTTATAACGGTGTATTTTGTAATCTTCGACGTCGCTCCTGTAAACCCAGCCCTAATGCTCCAAATCCGCGTTTCCCTACTCCAGACTCGTGTCATCTATTTTGGTATGACTAAAAACGCCGTGAACGTAAACACGACCAGTGTGGTAAGTGGTTGTTACTGGGCTGATGTATATCCGACCCTCGGACTGAGGCCGTGACTGCCGACGGCTATTGCGGCTCAGACGTTTGTTGACCCGGCACTCGGAGATGTGTAAACACAGCCCAGGTTCGATAACAAACATGTGTATTTACACCCAACACGTGCTGAAAGACATACAGGGCACTACCGACATTCGCGCTGCCGAAAGACACTTGGGCAACGGAGACAATTGGCCCGACACCCGCCCGCGGGCGTCCACTATAATCTACGGCGAGTCTCGGACCCTCGCGCGGCGCTTCCCCGGCGATTTGGCGACGATGAGACCATCAGTTTTATATATCGAGATGCCCTTCGAACTGGACACCGTATTAACACAAGTCCGCGGGACATCTCTCGGCCCCCGGCCCCAGCCGGAGGGCTCCATTTGAGATCACACACGAGTTTGCCGTCCACCGCAGCTGCCGGCGACGAGCAGCTTCGGCAGTTTCGGCAGCTTCGACGGCTACTTGCACAGCTTGTAGCAGACGCAGCCGGCCGCGATGCAGGCGATGCCGCAGACGGCTGCCATTTCCACCGAGCAGGGCAGCAGCGGCGAGTTCGGCCCGGCCTCCAGCAGCGACAGGCTCAGGTTGTCGGCGCAGTGGCGCAGAGATCGGCCCACGTCGGCGACAGAGTCGTCGACGGCGATGTCTTCATCGACAGCGGCGGCGGCGGCGGCAGCGGCGGCGGGGAGGTCGTTGGCGCCTCCCGGTGCTCTCGGTGAAGCCGGCAGACGCGGAGAGGCCGGCACCGGCCAGGCCAGACGCTCCAGCAGCTCCGGAGACGGCGGCGCGGCGGGCATGGGAGCCGGAGCCGCAGGAAGGGCCGGAGCCGGAGCCGGGGTCTCGGGGAAGACGAACACAGTGCCGCTGGGGCCCGGTGACCTCAGGTCACAACTGGTTACCAAGTCCGGTAGACGGCTCATCCGGCCGCCCCAGCCCGGAGAGCCGGGCGACGAAGGAGGAGACTCCAGCAGCAGTTGCTCCTCCGTGATGGAAGTACCTGACGAACAGAAAATCACGAGTTCAAGTTACGACGCAGTTTATCTTTTTGACGTTCATGCTATATCGTGAAACGTGTTAAATCACGTAAAAATGGAAAAAATGAAATAAAATTATAACTTCATCTATATATCACAAATCATTTACTTATGTCTTAAATAATGGAACAATCCTTAAGTTCAGCCCTGCGGTAGCACAAAAATAAGGCGCCAGATTTCCACAAGTCCGCATGTTCACTCACCGATATCTCTGGAGGTCGATGTCTTTCTCTTCCTCCCGGAACCGAAGATTCTGTTGAGCCAGAACGGTGCTCTGTCCTCACTGATGCCGACCTCAGGCGCCATCGGCACAGCGGCCACCACGAACAAGTTTGACGTTCCGCACATCCTGTCGCCACACCCGACCCGGTCGACCTCTCGTCAGCAACTGGCGCACGTGCGGGGCACACGTCGGCCGCTGGCTTCACTGAGCTTCTCCGAACGGCCGCTAGAGGCGCTACAGGACGGTGGCAGCGAACGGTAGGCCAGGGAGGGAGGGGCGGGAGGGGGAGGGTGTGAGGGTCCGAGGGGAGGGAAGAGAGCAGCTGGGGAGGGGAAGGGAGGGCGTTGACGGTGGACGAGGCGCTAGATGAGGTAGCTGATGACGGGAGCAGTTGTTACAACTTGCTGCACCACACGACGTACGAGACGCGGGAGCTGGATAAAATTGATCCGTACCGAACAGGCCCTTTTAGTGCCGCCGACAATTTTCTCTGATTGCACCATTTCAACTAGTGAAAATTGCTGCTAAAACCACATCAATAGGCCCATTATGTACCACAGACACTCTTTTTGCCGCACTTCTACTAAACGCAGGCCGTTGGAAAAATGATACAGATAGTTGAAAGTGGTCATTTCAAATGGCAAATAGGGTTGTGTAGCAGAAAGCTCTAGCTCACTGGAGTAAATATCTTGCTTCAGCTGTGCAATAATGTGGCATAATTACAGTTCAAATGTTTGCAGCACGCTTTCATCTGGAGCTCGCTTTAGGTGAGGCATGTATTATGCAAAGTGCCGAGAAAATTACGGGTTATTGTCGGTTCCCGCCTCGAAAATAAACACGTGTGGTGGGGCACGGACACTTGAGCCTACCGTTCAACGGAGTGAAGCTATTGAAGACCTTGGAAGTGATAACGATGGTCTGTATGAGATGATGTGGCATATGCATCATTCCGGCAGGCCAAAGGTATTGTGATAAATGTGTTTATGTTTAACGTAAAACTATTTAAAAACTTAAAATGAAACTGAAATACAAGCTGAATATTTCAAGCCCCGTCTGAACATCTGAACCTTCTAAAACGATTTAATCTCCTTGACCCAGACTGTATTAGTTTGTCGATCACCACAAGTCAGTGACAGATGCCATCCTGATCATCGCTCACCTTCGCTGGCCCGCCGACATCTCCCCCAAACACAGCGTCCGTCTGAGGAGACTCTCCCCTGTCACCCTCTCCTCCGCTTCTCTGCCGTCCGCCCGTACCGTCCCCATGTGTGAGCCATTAGCCGCCGCCCGCTGCCCGCCGCGTGACGGGTGACTGGTGACGTGACGGACCGTCACACGTGCACGTGCAGGGGCGCACCGGACACCGCGGCTGCCTCTCGCGTTACGCCCCTCCCCCCCGGCCCGTGACGGCCGGCCGGGCGGCGCCCATTCTTCACCGAACCGTGCGCCGTTTCACAGACAAACGTCGAAAAGAACGCCGGCAAAAACGCCGTTTTGTGTATTTCTGCGTCGATGGCGGTGCCGTATGGGGGTGATGGACGATGTGGGGGAGGGGGAGGAGAGGGGTGAAAAGGTCTAAGCGTGCCGATGTTCAGGAGGGTGGGTTAGGAAGACAAATGTCGGCATGGGATGCGGCCCGATCGGCAGAGAATTGATGTCTACACGGTGAGTTTAGGGTGAGCAGAACGAGTTGGGCCGGTGAGATACGGTGACACGGGGAGGGGGGGGCGAGGGGCGAAGGGGAGCCTGAAGGACATGTGTTTCTGTTGTACCTAAATCTGTGTGCGGGGATGGGATGACCATGAAACTGCTTGTTTTTGAAAACATTGCGTTCCGTGTTATATGGTGTTCCACGCTCTGTCTTTTCTCCCTGTATATTATATGTGTCAAGCACTTTGCAGGCTTTTGTCCAGCGTCCTCACATATTCAAATGAGAATTTAAAAATCGTGCGATAAGCTTGTTGTAGTTTCCAGTGTATTTGCTCCACGTGCACACCGCACCGAACCTCTCGCCAGACTGTCCTCTCTCCGCCGGGAGGCGACGGTCACGCCCTGCCCGGGACGGCCGAGGAACAGAGCAGCTCACAGAACAGTCCCGCCGGAAGCAGAACAGATAAATTAGGTCTGAAACCCTACACCCGACCCGTCGGGCCGGGGCAGCGGCGCTCCGTCGGCTGCCGGCCAGCCGGCCTCCACGTGGCCCACTCACTCGCTATAACACCTCCCCCTGTTTCTCGAGAAACATACACTCAAACAAAAAAAAAACGAACAGTCACGACCGAGTAGGGATGGTCTCAAATACCAATGCGCACAAACTCAACACCAATTAGCAACGCGATTACCAGAACAGTACAACACAGACAACAGTACAGTACAACAGACAACAGTAAACAGTAAAACAGACAAAAAATTACAATATCTCGTCCAGAACGTCACCGGGGACGGCGCTGCCGTACAACTCTCCCGGTGCCCGGCGGATTCTCTCACTTCGCCGCACGGTTTCTGTCTCGTTTCGCCCATTGTCACCATTCTCGGCCACAGGGGTCGGCTGCCGGCTCTCGTCCGGCGGAGCCGCTCCGTCGGCACTAGTGGCGCCTGTCTCTGGTGGCGGCTCAGGACAGTCTGCCCAGAGCGGCTCGTCGCCATCACTGTCCTCGGAGTCGCTGCACGGTGCCGGTGGTGCCGCCCCGTGCCGGTGTCGGACGCTTCTGACGTGCCACGGCGTCCCGTCCACCTCCACTTGCTGCGGTGACACGACCCGTGTCACCACACCGCTCCGTGAAACGTCAGTGCAACGGGTCGGGCCACCGCGACACCGCACCCACACCGGGTCACCCACTCGGAATGATCCACGCACACGGCCGTGCTCCACTGGTCGTCGGTCGGCAGACAGACCACTGGGCACGGGGAGGTCACGGCCGGGCCTGACAAGCACGCCGGCCGCCGGGGCCGTGGCCGCGCTCCGGCCGTCCCGCGGCGTCATGTTATAGCGATGCACGGCCTCGGCAACCGACACGTTCTGGCGCGCCGCCATCACTTTGATCGTCCGGTGGTTCCGTTCCACAATGCCGTTGCCTGTCGGTTCATGCACGGCACGGAATCGCAGATCCACTCCCCACCGTGCTACTAGCGCTGCCAGCTCGTAGCCACGAAATTCCCTAGCATTGTCTGTTAGAATCTCGTTTGGTGCTCCTCTCTCGATGAAGATCTCCTCCAGCTGCTGCGCAATCTCGGAAGCGGTGGACCGATGTAGGGCCCTCCAGATGCAGTATCTGGCAGGGCCACAGTCAATCAAGGACAGGTAGGCTCGGCCTTTGTGTTTAACCACGTCCATGGCCAGCCGCTCCCACGTCTCTTGTACACCGAGCGAGCCGGTCTGCCAGCGGACGGGCGCCGGGTCGATTGACTGGCAGATATCGCACTGCTGGACAATTTCCCGCACCATCGAGCGTCTCGCCGCCGGGCCCAGCTCTCTCCGGACGTACCACAGAGTCCGTCTGATCCCTTGATGGCCGGTCGTCTCGTGAATCCGACGGGCACGGGCGCGGTCTGTCTCAGAGCTGGTGCTGACCGCGCTGCCACCCGATTCACGGTCACCAGCGGCCACCACCCGGCGGGCGGGGTCGGTGTCCCGGGCACTCTGCAGCCACTGCTTAGGCACGCGCGTCAGCCCATCAGCCGGATTGTCAGCGGACCGCACCAGGCCGATCGTGACGGAGAGCTGCAGCTCGTCCACCAGCTGTCGGATGATTTCGATGCGTCGACGGATTAGCAGCTCTCCGTGAGCTTTGGTCCGCAGCCGCGCACGGCCGCTCAGGGCATCGGAGATCCAGCGGTGGACCGTAGCAGAGTCGGTGCGCAGGTCAATGACCTTCACTCCCCAGGCCACCGCCATGTTTATTCCACTGAGCGCCGCGTCAAGCTCGGCCATGTTGATGTGCATGTCTGCCTTACTCTCAGCCCGCAGCCAGCAGGCGTCCTCCACCGTGCCGCGGCCCGGGTCTTCCAGCACGACACCGTTCGCTATCGAGCTGGCGTCCGTCCAGACCACGAGACGGTCGCCGGTCAGTCGCCACGGGCCCTGAGCCGGGTCAGCCTCCTGCAGCCGCTGCACCACCTGGGCAACCTGCGCTTGCAACACTGCATCGTCTGTCGCGTCATCCCACCCCGTGGTCACCGAGTTCACACGCCGTTTAATCCACGCAGCGGCCGGCCGCAGCCAGCCCGCCACCGGCAGATGCGCCACGAGCCGCCCGCACCAGGCAAATACAGTCCGGCGCGTGACCTTGACAGGCGGCGGCGGGAGCTCTGCGTCGCGCCGCCACCGCAGCTCGCCGCCGCACGGGCTGACCCGCAGTCCGAGCATCCTCGCACCGTCTGCAGCTCTCTGTGGTGGCTTGCATTCCAGACCGTACCTCTGGAAGTGCTGCACCACCTCCTCGGCACTCACAATGTCCTCATCGACCAGCATGTCGTCTACATACGCGAGAACGCCACGCTGCACACGCTCATCAAGCTCGAGCACCTTTTTCACGACCGCTTTCATCACAAGAGGCGCTACATTAAGGCCAAATCCCAACCTCGTCAAGCAATGACGTTGGCCTCTCACCACGACTGTTTGATACGGCCAGAGCCGCCGTTCCAGTCGCAGCTGCAGATAAGCCTTTCGCAGGTCGACCACCGCCACGCGGCTCCCGTGCCGCCGCCACTTCCGTAGCTGGTCGGCGCACACGTCGGCGTCGGCTGTGTGAGCGGTGACGTGGCCATTCAGCTCCCGGTAGTCGAGCACCGGCCGGACTTTAGACGGCTGCTCGACTGCCATCAGTGGGAGTAGGCCCCGAGGCGGCCCGTCTGTCTCCTCGTCATAGGGTTGAAGCCACCCGTTTTCTATCCACTCCGTGATCTCTGCGTCGAACGCCGGCCGCGCATTCACCGGTAGTTTGTATTCCGGTACCGTGTTGCAGAGACAGTCAGGACCGACGCCACCCGTCCACTTCCAGCCGACAGTCCACTCGACACTATCCGGGCTGAACTCGGCCGTGAAGTCCGGGGCGTCCACTTTTAGTGCCTGCGAGCCCACGGCCGCGGGCGCGGCCGCCGCCGCCGCCGCCGCCGCCGCCGCCCCCACACGGAACGACACGTCTGTCGGTGTTTGCACACACACACCGCCCAGGGCCGTGATTCCCGACATACCGAGGACAACATCTACACCAAGCGGACGGTCGGGCACAACCAAAGCCGCGAGCCTCACTCGCTGGCCCTGACACTCAATCACGACACTGGCAACCCCCCTGCACCGGAGGCTCCCCCCGTTCACTGTTCTCATATTAACCGGCTGCGGCTTCCAGCTACCGCACTGCCCCTCGAACAACAGCGTGTCCGTGCACCCGGTGTCCACCAACGCCCGGCAAGCGCTTCCATCAACACAAATGTCCACCACAGGAAGTACACGCCCTAATGCTGGGGACACTGCGCTGGCGCTGACGTAGCTCCCCCGTCGTTTCCCGGCCGCCGCGGACAGGTAGCCGCCAAGTGGCCGATTTCGCCGCAGGTCCAGCAGCGCCGAGGCGGACGGTAGGAGCGGCTCCGCTGCTGATTCCCACGCCTGTCCTCACCGCCGGCCGCCGCTTGTTGAAATTCCTGCCGCTGTCCGCCAGCGCTGCGGACCGCTGCTGCTGCTGCCGGTATGGGCTCCTGAGACCGCCCACCGGCGCTGTGGGCCGCCGCCGCCGTTCGGACCTGATTGTTGCCCAGTACGGCGCGCGCCCGGGCCAGTGTACTGGCAAGCGTCAGCTTCTCCGCCTTGGCACCAGCTCGGACGGTGTCACCAATGGACGGAGGTAAGCCGTTCACAAACGCCGCCGCCAGCTGCCGCTCGGACACACCACCAAACAGAGCGGCGTACCGACGGAGACTCGCCAGGTAGACATCTACGCTCTCCCCCGGCTCCAGCGTGCGAGCAGTGAATGCCGCATGAGCGGCGTAGTCGTCCATTGCAAACGCCGCGAACAGCGCATCTCTCACGGATTCCACACAGCAGCGCTCCTCCGCCGGCAGCTGTGACCACACAGCAAACGCACCCCCTTTTAGGCGCATCGGCAGCACCTGGGCCAGGGAAGCCCCGCGGTACTCGCATAGCAGTTCCGCCTGCGAGTACCACTCCACCACGTCCGTGGTTCCGTCATAGGCGTCTATGAGACGGACGTCGAGCCTGGCGTCGGTTGGAGTCTCTGCCATCTTGCCGAAATAGCTTGTAGTTTCCAGTGTATTTGCTCCACGTGCACACCGCACCGAACCTCTCGCCAGACTGTCCTCTCTCCGCCGGGAGGCGACGGTCACGCCCTGCCCGGGACGGCCGAGGAACAGAGCAGCTCACAGAACAGTCCCGCCGGAAGCAGAACAGATAAATTAGGTCTGAAACCCTACACCCGACCCGTCGGGCCGGGGCAGCGGCGCTCCGTCGGCTGCCGGCCAGCCGGCCTCCACGTGGCCCACTCACTCGCTATAACACTTGTCGAAAAAGATTTCGATCAACTTCGGTTAGTTTTCTCGTCTGAAATGACAAGCAGTGAGAAGAAACATCAAATAACTAAAAATGATATCGATTGATAAATTTATAATATCGGAGAACTGATTGCTACATAAAATGTCTGAAAATAATACATAGCACATACTTATGCGTTCTACAGATAAGTAAAATGACCGTCTTTTGCCTCTATGCTCGATTTGAGCTCTCACTTATTTGTTGCCAATGAACCGTCTCAACCCCAAGGCATAAATTATGTCCAATTAACCAGCACATTGAAATCATAACTCGTGTGCGGTCAGTTTTCCCTCGTGAGGCGCCGCCTCCCTCCTGACAGGCGGGCAGGCCTGTCTGTTCCACCGCTAATTGGAGTCCGTGTCGGGGCGGTGCGACCCTCCTACACCGAGGGAGGCCTGACTTCAGCCACCACTGATTGACACAGTGCAGCTCAAGTGAGGACCTGATCCTCCCCATCCACTGACCTCCCCCCCCCCCCACCTTCCATAGTCTCTCCGAGCCAGGTCCAGTTTCACTCGTTACCCCTCCCCGCACCCTATCCCTCCCCACCGCGGGACGGGGCGGGTAAACGGCGTGTTACACATCTCGCCGGGGTGTCCGGCCCTCATTATACGCCTGCTGTGGCTCCCGTGGCGCCACGGTGACCACCGACCGCCCTCTCGCAAACACACGCACACACACGTGAGCAGACTTATGTCTTGAGGACCCGGTGATGTTAAGAGGACGCCGCTCGATTCGCTGCGAACTGTTAGCTGATCAAAGAGGTTTGCGTTGGCGTATGTGCTATATTTTTATTCAAAGTCGCACGAATGTGTGGATAAAGTGCTGAAGTGTCATAGCGGTAAAATGCCAACACTTAGCTACGTTGCTTTTTCATAAGACTTCTAAGGATGCATCGAGTTCCTTAAACACCGTTTTCAAAGTATACACCCGAGTGGTTGCGTGAGCAGCGCTAGTGCCATCTCTGAACGACCTTGTGCACTAGTGTTTCACCGGCGCCAGCCAAGGTGAAGAGCGAGTAGCCCGTCACAACTCCGATTAGTCCCCCTATATTGGCCAGAAGGGTGGCAGACGTGAATACAATGGCTTCCCTTAGCTCGTCAGCAGTTAGGTCTATCGCCAGGGCTATGCGCGTCTGGCAAGCTCCAATGTGATATTGATCGTCGCGCGTTGGACCCGATACTCCGTATAGGTCATACAGTGTCTGGTGACAAGCAGGTTGGCAGTTGCAGCCTCGCACGTCGGTCAGGAGATTATTTTCGACAAATGTTTCCAGGTCATGCGGAGGATTACATAAATTGAAGACGCGGAACTTGGAGACGGCTTTCATTGGTTCATGTTCTCGAGAGTGTGTTGCATTCGCACTGAAAGAGGAGCTGAGATTGAAGGATGGAGACATACTACACCTTTTTAGGCGCAACTTCAAAAAGTTAAAGACCAAATTCAAAAAGTTTACACTCGAATTGCACGTGAACGTTTTGAATTTGGTCTTTAACTTTTTGAACTTGCGCCTAAAATGCTGTAGAATCAGATCTCTTGACAAGCGCAGTCGCTCCCGGTACCAGAGGCGCTGAGCCGTCTGGTTTGTACCAAGGCCTTACACGAAGCTCTTGACATTTTTCGTTGGACTGTCGAGTACAGAACCTGATGACACGCGTCCGCATGCTGGTCTGCATCTGCACTGGTCTTGCGCAGAGCGGTAGATGGTCGAGCGGCCCGCTCATGTCGGGCAGGTACACCCCGGCGCCGACCATGTGCGGCAGCCGGCAAGACGACGCCACAGACACTCCTTCAGACACTGTGTCTCCGAGTAGCCGGGCTCGTCGCGACAGGGCCGATGCCGCACGCTCACCTGACGGAGTAGGCGCGCGGTCAGGCGCAGTGAGAGGGTGCTCCCCACGCCGAGCTCGCGAACCAGAGTCTGCGGCACGTGAGGGCCCAGCTCCTGGGCGACCAGATCGCCAACGTTTGGTTCCTCGCTTCCATGCACGAACAGACGGTACGCTGTACGCTTAGTCTCTGTGAATGATGGCGCGGAGGCTAGGATCAGCTCCAGCTGAAGCGGGTTCTTGCTGCGCGCAAACAGATATTCGCTGGGCTCGAAGGTCAAACAGCGTGTCGGATGAACCTTGTGTCTTAGCCGTGATAAGGTGAGGTAGTAGCGCGCGCCCCAACTGCCAAGTCGACTGCGACCTGGTACATTCCCCACTGCGTGCGCTCCACTCTCCACGCGAATCAGATTAGCCCAGTTGTTGTCGCGCGTATCACTCCCCAGCATCTGCAGAGTGCTGATGTTGTAGAACTGGTCAAGCGTAACATTGCCGCTGGTGAGGAGCGTCTCGGCCTCAAGACGAATCACAGTGTCCCGCAGTGGTGTGCCGGGACAGAGTGTCAGACGCGGGAACGGGGCCTGGCGACGCAGCACGGTGGAGCTGACGGGCTGGGAGTCGTAGTCCTGGTACTGCGAATACAGCTGCTGGCCAAGGAACACCAACAGGAAAATGTGTACCGTCCAGCGAAACACGAGGACTGCCACACTGCGCAGAAGTGCTTTTAGGGCCCTTCCTCCTTTCCTATCATTGTCACCCTTGATCTCTTTTGAGCTTAAGTCCTCTCTTCCGCTTTCGAGGTCGTCTTCGCGGATGCTGCTGGGCATCCTGCTGGTACTCTGTGGAGCACGACAAACTTGCCAGGCTTTGCTGGACTTTCTAGGAGCGCTTCTGACGCTGCTTGGACGCACCGCATCCTCGTCCTGTCGGACAAGTGTCGACATTGCTTGCTTGATCAGCTTAGCGATGCAATCAAAGAAGAACAAAGGCTTTTAACCCATGGCAGCAACGCTGCTCGGCTCGGTCCTCAATACTACTCATGAGTCTTTGGCATCTTCAAATGAATCGGCACATTGTTTCTAAAAGGATGGTAATAATATGGCAGCTCTCAACGCCTGCTGCTCACACGAGATTTACACTTGCAATAGGAAACCGCGAGCGTTTAAACGTCTTTTTCATGCCCTGAAGCAGCCTAAGGCAATCGGAGTCGACCTCTGTTTCGACTCAAGGCGTATTTGGTCAAAAGCGAATTGGGTTTCACCACGTTTTCTTGCTAAGTGACGCGTCAATTCCCATTAAACTTTTCCGAAAATTAAATTGTGACAACTCTACTCAATATTTACCCAGCGTCCTGCCAGCTTCGCTACGGCTACAGTTAACCACCAGCGTCCTGTTCTCACAAACACAGCTTGCGGTGGTCTGAGCACACACATCGACCACCACCAACGATCATGCTCGTCAGCTCTTGAAAACGCAATCTACACTTACTGTGACGTAAAACTCGAGCAATGAGTGACGTCACACCGCAATTTACAAGTTGCCATGGAAACACAATAAACAGAATTAGCAGCTGGTTATGTGGTGGCGTTCCGCGTCCGTAAACCCTTTAGATGCGTGTATTGATTAGCTTTACACTAGCACAATCGAGGAGAAAACGTTTGGCGGCAAAGGCCGAACCGTGCACAATAAGATGTGTGAAAAGGACAGGGTCTTTGGCCAAAACCCATTTAGGTATTATTGTTTGTTGTAGCGAGGTTGTCTGAAATCCTTAATTGCGTTGATTTTTTTTTAGAAATATGGAGAAGTTTGTTTAGAAATACGTCAACATATCGTCAAAGTTAATTTTATTTTTAATTTGAAAATCTGCACTTGTAGATGTTCAATGTAGAATCACCTAATTTTGAAACGGGGTTAGGGGAGAGTGGGGTAATTTGGCCGCTTTTTTTAGAAAACGATATAACTTGAAATTGACGACACATTTCTGCATTTTCTCAACGCTGGCAGGTGTTGCATTCATTTTACTTTACTGGACAGTGAACTTGAAATGATAGAGTAATTACTTATATTGAAATTGTGACGTATTACAAAGGTCTGCAAGGCGGCCAAATTGCCCCACTAGCAGGGTTATTTGGCCGGGGGTGTGGGGCAATTTGGCCGGTGTAGTCTGCGGTCGGGATTTTCTGTTATATTGCGAGTCAGCTTCAGATTCAGCAATGACGTGTGTCCTATGACGCATTTGCCGCATTTTGGAGGTTGGCTCAGGGATCACAGGGGTCAAAATAGCCAAATTAGCGGCTCTAGATGCGATCACAGTTTTTTACGAATAACTTTTGAAGTAATCAAGCTAGGCCAAAACTTCGAGTACCATCGTAATTATCTCGTCAGTCCGCATCGAAAGATATATGTGTTGACCTTGAGAAGTCAAGGTCAAAGATTGACCTCAGGTCACGTTGCATTAGGTCGCTTGACCTCAAGGTCACGTGATTTCAAGGTCATCATGTATATCATTCGATGCGCCTTGGCGAGCTGAACAGAATGAGACCATTTGTGCGGCTGTACCATTTTTATGTAAGGATTAATTAGCAAAAAACGTTTGGTAACCTTTGATGACGTTACATGCTCTTACAGTTGACCAATCGGAAGTAAGGCATCAAAGTAGTCAAAGTTGGTCATGAATCATGTCATTTATGGTACAATTGACCATGAAAACTCGGCCGTCCCAGCATAGTGACCATGAGCGCACCCGCCAAGTTGCCCCGCTAGTCCCGGCCAAATTACCCCATATTGCCATTCTGAAAAAATTTTGTCTATAAAGTCATCACGGCTTTACGGAATTAGATAAAATTGCTCTTGGAACCGCTGAA